ATTCAAAAAAAGAAGATTGATATAACAGACTATGAGGTAATTTTAGCTACTGAGATATTTGTCCAGAAAAACCTTACACACCTCAGCTTTTATCTTATTTGTTACTTGTTCGAATTTTAATTTTTGCTCAATCAGGGTGGTCAAAAACGCAAATTGAACTTTTTCTCAAAAATTTCATATGTTTGTGCAAGTTTAAATTTAATTTTTTTATAAACTTTTTTTTGATATAAGGTTTGATTCAGATAAAATCACTACATTTTGAGTCATTAAGCTTTTAATCGAACAAATCGCCAAAACTAAGGAAATGAATCACATTATGCATGGAAACAAAAGACATATATTGCGCTAATTCCATATTGCCACGAAGAATACAGAAGTAGTTGGTTGGGCGGGTACCCAAACCTGAAATATTATACCTTTTTCACACGTTATCAGTAGCTTTCACCAAACAATTTGTCCAATTGCAACATCCCTCAAACATTTTGCTATATTTTCTAGACTATAAAGTTCACCCGCACATCATCTACAACCGTATATATGCCAAGTGTGAAGGTGAAATCAGCAAGACTCAGTTTGGCTTCAGAAATGGGGTCGGAACTCGAGAACCTATTTTCACTCTAAACACTCTCACACAGCTTTGTAGAGGAATTAACGTCGACGTATATGCATGCTCCATCGATTTTAGGTAAGCTTTCGACGACGTCTTAGATCAGAATCTTATTGAGATGCTTAACCCTTAACTACCGTAGTGCAGAAAGTCATTAACGTAGTGCGGTCTCAGTGACCGCACATTACAGACAATCTCAATTGCAAAAAATGAAATATTTTGCGTGTTGTAAATATTTAGGCAGAGTGTAATGAGGCCTTTAGTTTTGTATTTTCTGCACGCCTAATAAGATGGGGTCTACCAATTGATCAGCAAGAATTTTTAGAAAGACTGCTTTTTCGATCTTTGTGCTATTTTTGAACGACTGATGTGCATTTACACCACAAATATCAAGTAACTAAGACCAGATCGCATTCTGGTTGGCGGTCTGCTATTGTGCAAAGAATATTCACTTTCCAGTTTTTGAATTATGCGACGTTTAGCGAGCTGAGATAGTGCACTATGACAAGCATATTTAGCATGAAATGCTCTTTGCGTAGGGACAACACTTCTCGAACTTTGATAGAATACTTAGACGATTACCAAACTGCCTTACTAAATACAAAATAACTCAGCTCTCAGAAAATAGAAACCCTGTAGTATAATTCCAAATTCATTCTTGAGGATCTGTGCTGCCAAAAATAATTCACAAAGTTGACAGGGAATCACACTAGCTATACAAAAATCTTAATAGATATATACTAAGTGACATATAAATCCGAACACCCAGTTCAAATGGTTTTATTTTAATAAAAGTTGGTGAATGTATTTATCTTTCTGTAAATAAGAAGTGAAAAACTGTTCAGCCTTATCAGTTATACATTCCGGTTTTTATACTGCTTTTTTTAAATTCACTAACGCTCTAAAAATGAATATTTCAGCCGCAGTAAAGAATCAACGTTGGCGGATTTTGGTTCTTGACATCCTTTACGATCGGTTACGATGACTAGAGTACGGAGACCTGTACGATTTCGTCAACTTTGTGAGTTTGATAGGGGCCGTATAGTGGGACTTCGGGAAGCGGGACTTTCTTTTCGGGCAATTGCAGTCAGAGTGCAAAGAAGTGTAGACACTGTGGTTAGGTGTTGTCAGGCATGGCTTCGAGAAGGCCGTACGCAAAGAGCAAGGGGCACTGGACGCCGCCGTAGAACAACAGACCGTGAAGATCGCCGCCTAAGATTATTGGCCTTAAGGGACCGTTTCTCCACTACCAGGTCCATTCCAAATGAATGGTTTACAGAACACGGAAGACCTATTGACATGCGAAGTGTTTACCGACGAATGAGAAGTTTTGGCTTGTTTTTATACCGGCCACACTGGGCCTCCCTTTAACTCGAGAACGCCAACGTAATCGCCTTGAGTGGTGCAGACAACGGTCACTCTGGGATCAGGAATGGAACAGTATTGTCTTTAGTGATGAGTCTCGATTTTGTTTAGGCATACACGATGGTCGTGCTAGGGTTAGAAGGCGACGTGGTGAAAGGAGGAATCCACAGTTTTTTGTTGAAAGACATGTTCATCACGCTGTTGGAGTTATGGTTTGGGGTGCTATAGCTTATGGTTCCAGGTCACCTTTAATCTTCATCAGAGGTAACATGAACGCGCAGCGTTATATCCACGAAGTTCTAGAACCCCGTCTTTTACCCTATCTTGACACCCTGGCAGATCCAACTTTCATACATAATGATGTCACATTGTTACCATGGCCACCAAGATCTCCCGACTTATCCCCAATTGAGCACGTGTGGGATATGATGGGTAGGAGATTGCTCAATTTGCAACGTCCTCCTCAGACTCTAGAAGCACTTCGAGAGGAGTTGGTGGTTGCCTGGAATGAGATACCACAGGAGGACATTGACCACCTGATCAGAAGCATGCCTAGGCGCGTTGGAGAATGCGTAGCACATCAGGGTGTATCCACACATTATTAAAGGTCAAAGGGCTTTAAAGCAGTGCAATCATTTTGAAATTTTTATCATTTACTTATTATGCTTCATTAAGTATTTATATAAAATTTTATTAAAATAAAACCATTTAAACTGGGTGTTCGGATTTATATGTCACTTAGTATAGTAACATAGACACCGTGTACCGGTCACTGTGACTGCTCTGTAACTTTTGTCGTATTTCTATTGTAAACCGATAAAAGTGCCACCTTCAACTTTTAGCGACACCGCTGGAAAGCTTATACTGCGAAGCAGGAGAACCCCCACTGCAACTGCGACGAGACATTCTCAGTTCATCATATATCATTAACACAGCATCAAACCCAGATGCTCCCACTTCTAAAAACCTACGCACCCTCATAGAATACGACAGAAATCCATTGCACATTTAACTACTACAAAGAAGAGTTAGATCTCGCCTAATACAGTTGAATATAAGCCAAATGCCTCAATTATTTCCAGTCAAAGTCTCAAACGCACCACCTTGGGCTGTTCAGCTTCCTCGTGTAAATACCCAGCTAACAGAACTAGACAAGCATAGCACCCCTAACGAAATAATACAGAGAAATTTCTACGAAATTGTTGGTAAATATCTTGACCACAAGCTAATATTTACCGACGCATCGAAACAAGGATCAAACTGCGGAGCAGCAATAGTTACACCAACAACCAACAAGACCTTGAAGATTCCGGACTCAGCCACTACTCTGACAGGAGAGCTTTACGCGATTCTGGAAGCATTAAAGTATATAGAAAGCACCGTTGACCAAAAATGGATAATCATTACAGACTCACTTAGCTCAATATACTCCATCAATAAGTTATATACAAAAAACCCGATAGCCAAGATAATACAAGAAACAATTACTCAACTCACCAACAATAACCAGATTATAGTACTTATGTGGGCTCCATCTCACAAAGGAATAGCAGGGAATGAAACAGCAGATACAAACGCTAAAAGAGCGGCAACGAACAACAGCATCTGCAACCTCCCAGTTCCAGCATCAGATATGAAGGTATATGTAAAAGGCAAAACGATAGACCAGTGGAATAGTGTGTGGAAGAACAAGCCTTCCAAGCTACAAGAAGTGAAACCCAAGCTCAACGAATTGCAAACAGTAACAGAAAAAAGGAGACTGCAAGTGATAATAACCCGCCTCCGACTGGGCCACACAAGAATCACCCACAGCTACCTCATCACCCGTGACCCTGAACCAATGTGTTTTATGTGCGAAAGCGTTTTATCGGTAAAACACATTCTAGTGGAGTGCCCAATGTTCGAACAACAAAGACATCAGTTTAATCTCGGTGGTAAAACTCTAAAAGACAATTGGAGCCACCTGCAATGTCCGAAATCTAATGTTGTTCTTGAGCCATTGTAATTTAATACATAAAATTTGATTCATGTACACATTAAATCCGCTGCTAATAGCTAATTAGCTGATGCAGCTTATGTAAATAAAAAAAAAAAACTTTTAGCGACAAACTGACCACGTGGTAACTTGAAGGTAGCGAGGATATTGCCTGATAATATTGAAGTGGAGATAAGATATATAGAAATAAATATGTGCTGCGGTTTCAGTGACCGAACTACGGCGGTTAAGGGTTAAACAAACCGGCCTCGATGAAGCCGATATTTAACATCTACTCCTAAGCAGTATTTAAGGAAGCGTCTAATAATGTGGAAGATGGTATAATAATTGCGTATTGCTGATCAGATGGTGATAGAATAGAACAGAGAAATTTCATAGATATTGCTCGTTTCCAAACATTCATTCATTTACTTGCCGTTCATCAGTACCATTATAGTACCGTCGATTGATATCCTACAAAACCATTCAGGATTTTTGATATCCATACATCCATGGTCAAATATTTTTTGGTTGTTAAGGAACTGAACAAACATCTACACTACATTTACAGCGATTAAGAAATACTCAAATCTAGCATCATGTCATGGTTCAAGGGATACCCAAAACTAACTGCGACAACACCTTTTTGTTCCCAAAAAAGGTAATCATCCAAACTTGACACAGGCTCGCCCAATAGAGGATTTTTGATTATATTGTCTATGAAGGTTTATCATGGAGGCTGGGAAACCCAAGATGAAGAACAATTTAGTCGGCAAATTTTCGAAAAACTGAGAAATATTGACCTGAATTCCGTCCAGGACTTCATGAGAGACATGCGAAGAAAGTTGCGTCTGGTAGAGTAGAATGGGCCACTCCACATAATTCGATAGTATAGTTTAGTTAAGTATTGAGTTGTACTGTATAACAACTAGTTAGTGTTTAAACAAATTTCTTCGTTAGAAAAAAGCCGATAAATATTGTGTGCCAAAGCTTTCAGGACATATGTTACAAATACGTCTAAACATTGATCCAAAGTTCTTCTGTTTTACTTACAGAAATAATGCCTGCATAAACATCAAATACGTTTCCACGATCAAATATTCGTATCGGGTACTTCACAAGACGCAAACAATTTGATTATCATAATATCTCAGTTCACATTAAAACTTTCCCAATTTCAATAACAAGTGTTATTCATATCTCGACACATACTGAAATATAGAATGATTGATACGATAACTAAGAGATTAATCAACGGATCGAAAAAATCGTAAAATGTTTTAAATAAAATCAGAAATCACCAACCGCTATCAATTCCATGATTTCAGCAGTAACTTTGCTTCGTACGAAAAACAGGACGACCTTGAAGAAGTTTAAACAGCTGCTGGGATTTCAAACTTTTCGTAGAGGAGGCGTGGATCCAGCATCACGTCTTGAGGGGGGGGTAGGCAAGTAGTAAGGGTTGCCTTCTTTTAGGGCCTATTGACAAGTCGTTTGCGTTTATTGTAATGTGATTAAGAAGGAAAATAATAAACAGCAGTTCAAGAACATTTATATAGGCACCGTTGTTCCCCCTAGATCCGCGCCTGTCGTGGATATATTCCAAGAAAATTTTTATAGAAAAAATGATTCACTCAATGTGTCAGGGATTAACAGAAGCTGCATACCGCCATTACCTCGTTGGCTAGGTAGTACCAAAAAGCTGATACAACATAGAACAACATCTGAGCTTGGAAAGATATTCTTATACAGGACCCGGCTTAAAGGACGGATCTTTTTTAAAATAGCTAATACACCTGCTTATTCGGGCGCGAATGGTGGGAAGAGTGTCGTTCGTCTTGGGCGTTCCTAGAATGTTTACCAGTAGACATTATGGAACACTGAACGGCTGAGCATCGCGTTTGCGCGTATGACAGCTTTCTCCGACATAATGAATCTCAAATATCTTCTATGACTCTCCCTAGCGGGTACCAAAATGTCTGCATATGCCAAATCCAGACTCGTCTAGAAAGTATCTCTAGACTTAAGTGCTCTGTCCCAGACAAAGTGTCTTGAGGTAAGGAATCAAACGTGTTGACATACCAGACTAGGTGCGCAAGAAAAAGTTGAATAGGTGCTGATTTTTAGTTAGCTCAACTTTTTTGCTGATAGCGCCGCAGCTAAGCAATTGAGAGACTGTCGAAGGTAGGTATTTCATAGATGGACTGATGAGATTCAGCCATGGCAAAGTGTTGAACCAATCGCCATGTGAATGGCGAGTGACCACTTGAGTTCAACTCAGGACTTTAACACCACTCCTAAGGATATGCCATTGATGATGAATACGCGTCAATGTCCCTGCTGATCTACATATGCACATCTGCAATAATGGGTGATATCTGATGTTGTCAGTACGTTGTCTGTCCTTTTGGCCTTCAGTTGCTGCTCATATCTACCTGAATTCTATTTAGAGTTGACTTACTTGGTCAGACCTACACCGACGAACAAGACATCAATGGAAACCTCTGTCAGTTCTTTGCTTTAATGTAAATATCTGACAGCATGCGCTCCTCTTCCTTCTTTGAACCTGGAGGATAGAGTATTACCACTTACAGTTAAAGAACAGCTCACATGTTGCTGTACACATATCAAGCCCACATCCTTACGTGCGAAAATATCTATTATGGCTTCCTCTACCTCAGGGTTCTCCTCAGGAGGCCAGAATAGGACATAATCTATTTATCGCCATCCACAAGACCTACCCTCGAAATGTCAGCCGAACATTAATTATACTGAGGTCGCCGCAACATCGTGGCGATGCGTCATCAATTGAAACAGATTACATGGCCTTTAAGATATCAGAATCCAGAGCGCCCTGCTGTTCGAGTGCCACCTATGCAAAATGTAACGCTATTCGGGCATAATGAGATTAAACAGAACTTTAGGGGCTTACTAACCGGTGATGTTCATACGTACAGTCCTGTTCCATAGTTATCGCCAGCCAGCTGGAATCTGCTATCACAAGCAAAATGTGTACCTACTTTCTATATGTTGTTAATGAAAAGTAGTACTGCGGCGGTTTCCTAAACTGTCTTGTGCAATCTTATTATGCTGTTCGAAGGTTACCACAAACCACATGAAATCTGCTATCACAAGCAAATGATAAGAGACTGTTGACCATACCTTGTTGCTACGCTTCAGTTATATTAAAAAAGTTACACCTAGAAGAAATAATTTCTTCAACTTGTTGTTTTTTGCAACATAATGACTATACATACTATAAGCATGCTGTAGCAGCAATTTCAACATTATATATATTTTTAGTTATTACCCTTTCGTTTACTAGTGTTAAGCATAACAAAATGCCGCGAGATCGAAGACGTCCAAATTATCACCATGTTAGCGACTTTGACAGGAGTAGAATTATTGCCTATCGAGATGTTGGTTTGTTGTATCGCGAAATTGGCCGCAGGTTAATTGTATTGCAATGACGTTAATGCATGTATGTCGTGTGTGGATACTAGAAGGCCAACTACTTTATTACACACTTGGCAGCCTCAAACTTAACAATGTTCACCCAAGAATCTAAGCATTGAGAATGACCAATTTACGGGTTTTCAGGCTTTGAATCGCTTATAACTTAAAAACTGTCGGCTTTTAAGAAAAGTTAGTGAGGATTATTTGTTTCCATATTACTCCAAAAAGCGAACACCAGTTTTCTCAATAACAAAATAAAAGTGATCATGGAAGAACCAAGTCGTAAAGTATCAGCCATGAATGTGAGGAAAAAGCTAATTTGAATAGCAAAAACATACGTGACAACTGAAGATAGATCTGCTAAATACGAGTAGTTTGTACAGTGTAATTGATAATAGATCATTTTTAAGTTCCCTACATATACGAGTATAAACAAGGAAGAGGAGCAAATCCGCGTATTCTGGTTTTGGTTTAGCAACTTGGCAAGTAGGGTGTGAAACAGTTTGACAAATATCTTTGTTCAAGTTTGCTATATACATAGGGGCTCACAATAGGCGGGTTCTGGACTTGCTTTCGAAAAACGGCTAGTAGGGAGTGATAAGGTAGATTATATTGATGCCAGAAATGTAAAAAAATTTTGGGTCTTCGGCTGTTTTGACGAATAATAGATTTTTTCAAATTTGTCATGTATAAATAAAGAGGGGTCAAAAACGGAGGGTTCCGGACTTGGTTTGGGGAAACGGCTAGTAGGGAGTGATAAAGTGGATTATACTGATGCCAGAAATGTTAAAAAAAATTTGGGTCTTCGGCTGTTTTGACGAATAATAGATTTTTTCAAATTTGTCATGTATAAATAAAGAGGGGTCAAAAACGGAGGGTTCCGGACTTGGTTTGGGGAAACGGCTAGTAGGGAGTGATAAAGTGGATTATACTGCTGCCAGAAATGTAAAAAAATTTTGGGTCTTCGGCTGTTTTGACGAATAATAGATTTTTTCAAATTTGTCATGTATAAATAAAGAGGGGTCAAAAACGGAGGGTTCCGGACTTGGTTTGTGGAAACGGCTAGTAGGGAGTGATAAAGTGGATTATACTGATGCCAGAAATGTAAAAAAAATTTGGGTCTTCGGCTGTTTTGACGAATAATAGATTTTTTCAAAGAGGGGTCAAAAACGGAGGGTTCCGGACTTGGTTTGGGGAAACCGGCAGATACAACGTCCAGACAAGACGATGATCAACATTCTTCTTCTTTGCCATTCGCAGTCTATGCAACAACGTTTATTACTGAAATCAGATGGATGTAGAACGGTAATTAGCATGCTGGCCAGGCAGATTGAAAGGAATTTCTCACAGAGTAGACTTCATACAGTTACGTGTCTGACTCAAAGGTTAAGGCGGAAGTGCTTAGCAAGGACTTCGGCTCTGAGGAGAAACCTGGACGTTATCACTGCTTGGGGACGCAACAATCTTGAACAGTTTAATGCTTCCAAAAGACAGTCAGCTGAACCCTCTCTTCTACCGCTACACCAATGAGCTTTGCTCCTCAGAGCCTCCAGCTTGTGGCACCTAAAAGAACTTGAGTTCATAACTGGACACCTTGCGTACTTTGTGGTTGAGCATAAATTACGCCAAAAATATCTAAGTCATCACATAAATCAAATATGGGACAAACGTTCTTAGTTTCACTTGTTTTATAATCTATATGGCTCAAGTGCTCCCGGTTTTGACGCACGATTTCCGGCTGTTGTGGACGATTCCAATCATTTATTTTGCCTATCTCTCATTAGAGAACATTTTTGCTCTTATATAAAAGGAAAGATTTTCGTTCCACAGCTTACTGTGTTCTGATCTTACGTAAGTAACACTCATGTTCTTATCAGTCTTCAATGACACGTTTGCTTTCGATTTTTTGTCGCAATTGGAAATTTATATGAAAAGATACCGCTGAGGCCTTATATGTAATCGCTTTTGACTATTTTTCTTCAATTCAGAACGTTGTATATCTCAACGTGTTGAAGAAATGTGTCAATGGACCCAAAGTTTTTCCATGAGTAGTTTCCTTGATACAAGATCTAAACATTTGACAATCCAATTCCCATTATAGTTTAATGTAGGTTTATTGTACAGATTCGTAACACGCTCGTGTCGATGATTCTCAAGCTTCCTATACATATACATATATCCCGATTGTAAAAAGAAAACGTTGAAAAGAATATTTAGTAAAGAAGGTTCTTTTAATGATATATACTTAAGACATATAAGATACAAATAAAGCAGTGTTTTATTTGACGACCCTACTATGTATTCTTAGAGAAAATTCAGAACTCAATTTTCTCAACAGCTACTCGGAGATAAAGTTCTATCCAAAAATGTCACCAAGCTATAGGCGCTTATCAAATATGCAACGTTATTATCCAGGCTACTAGTCGAGCATTATGTATAATTCTGAATGTTTAAGAAATATATTTCCACAGGGACGGTGCAGGATAATCCTGAATGTTTTTTTGAAAGTTTGTGTCTCAGTGCATGCCAATTATTGATGAAAGCCGAACAAATTAACACGTTCAGTGCGAACAGCGTCAAAAGACGTCCTCCGCTCCTGTGGTGGGAGGCGAACGGCGTCTTTCGACGCTCTCTGCCGGCTTCCAACAAAAGTATTTCAGTTTCTGAGGTGGGTATCCTCATCCCAGTTCGCAGTCAATGTGTTAAAGGGTACTTCGAAGTTTTGCAATACAGCTTTATTTATT